ATCACTTTTTACTGTTGAGTGGCCCATCTTTTAAAGGGTATGGTCTATGTTCCAGTATGAAAACGCGTTTTTGGCGCTATAGAACAGAAGTAAAAGTTGGAAATGCTTTTGCCAGTTCTCCCACTTTATACACATAAATTGACAGGTTGTCAGCGGATCTCACCGAAGTGGACGCGATACATTGGCGTACAAAATTATTTTATAGATGTTAATAACAATTTCGAGTAAATAGTTTAATAAATTGTGAATAGCTGTTGAAATTTTGTAAAATTATAATTTGAATATTATAATACATGTTTAATAATTATTTATAATCCATAAATACATGCGATTGTCTGGTTCCGCCGATAACAATTTAAAATTACTTATTCTATGAAACGACACTGGCAGGTAAACATTACTGTGAAATTCTCGGAGCCGCCCGACGTGGTTTGACGTTTACCCCCTCTCTACCTACCAAAAGACTTTTCAACTTTTACTTTCTCTTTAGTAGTAGGGAAAGGGTATGAAACGAACGTGTTTTTTTTTTCTCGTGCCGATAACAATGTGTAACAAAAAACACGAGCAACGGATCAATGTAAAATTTCTCGTTAAATTAAAGAAAAAACTCCGACTAAGTGTTATAAGTTGTCGAAAGAGGCCTATGGTGAGAATTCTCTATCTCGTACGCGTGTTTTTGAATGGTATACCTAAACAGTTTTTTGAAGGCCGAATGTCGAAATCAAAATTAAAAGTCATGCTAATCGGTTTTTTTTTACACCAACGGCATCGTGATGACTGAATAAGTTCCACAGGGTGAAACCATAAACCAAACTTACTAAATGAAAGTTTTGCAATACTGCGAGGGCGAGTTCGTAAGAAAAGACCGGAGTTGTGTAAAAACAAGTCGTAGATCTTGCACCTGGGCAACGCACCTGCCCATAACGCGCTGTCTGTGATGCGTTGTTTAGCCGCTAGAGGCACTCCAGTATCCAACACGTGCCGTACTCGCCTGATTTAGCAGCACTCTGTGACTTTTCCTGTTTCCGAAGATCAAGTCTGCCTTAAAAAGAACCCGGTATGCTCGTACAAAAGAAGACTTCCAGCATTGCTTTTGCCAATGGAAAAACGAATGGAACGGTGTGACGAGGAGAAGGGAAAACATTGAAGGGGAGCATTCGATTGTAGAATAATTTTTAAAATAAAACTCTTTTTCATAAGCAGTCTCGTTATTTAATTGTCAGACCTCGTACATGTAAATTTAAAGATGTTTTGTTAACTATTAGGCTGTTACCCGACTTGCACAAGATTCATTATATCAAAACTTTTGTCAAAAATTTTCGGGATTCTACAAAAAACATCAATGAACAAATTTCGAAATGACGAAGAATTTTAAATTATCAAGAATTCGAAAAGTAACAAAAATACAGTCTTTAAACCATTCTTTATAGTTTATCTGCATAGTAGTTGACTAGTGTTATCTAGCTTATTAATATGAATTAGAATACCTTATTAAATGGTATTTTAAAATGAATTCAAAAAAATATTTTCTTGAGTCTAGATTTTTGTAAAGTGTGCAGAAAATGCCACCCTTCCATATGCATTTCAGTTTAAAAAGATGTATTTTCTTGCAGTAGTGCGGAAAAATTATTTTTTCCATTTACTTTGCTGGACTAGTGCGAGAGAAGCCAAAAATATTGTTGATTAAGAAATGAGGTACCTACATAAAGTAATCATTTCCGTATCGAATTCATATCTGATAATAGGTAAAAAGTAGTCATTCCCTAATTATTTTAATATAATCATATGCCGTGAAATATCAAACATTAAATAAATATCTAGAAGAGAGCCGTCATTCTAATTCTAATTGATAAAACTAATTAAAAAGGGGTAGCAGCGTAGGGTTATAGCCGTTGGAAAAAGTAATAATATAATAATAATAATAATAATAATAAATTGCCTTTATTTGCTTGTAATATACAATGCACATAAACATCATGAGGCGAAGTCTAGCTTGCGCTACTCAACTTAACCTCAACATAAATATAAAATTAAAATAATCAAAAGGTATCCATCATACACAATATAAAAAAAATAAGAAATTTAATATACAATTAATTTATGATTAAAAATGTTAACCCTGTATTTAATCTAAACTGAAATCAATGGAACTTAAAATACAATTAAATAAGGAAAAATGTTTGAAATTAATAATATATTAACGTTAGCACTGTATTCATTGATCAACTAATAGCAACGTTTTATAATTTTGTTTCAAAAATGTCAAAGAACATGTCCTAATTTCCCTAGGTAGACTGTTATATATTGAAATGGCGTTATATGTGAAAGATCTTTTGAAGAATGATAATCGGTAATTCGGAATCGTTAAGTTGTGTGGATATCTTAAATGTAAACTGTGCAGATCTTTCCGATATATCAATTTATGTTTTAAGTATATGGGAGTTGAGGTTAAAAGAATTTGAAATACCGTGGCCGCCATCTGATATTTAAATAAATTTCCTATATTGAGCCAGCTAAGTTCTTTAATTTTATTTGATATTCTATCATACTTTCTGATACCAAATACAAAACGACAACAACAATTTTGAATCTTTTGAAGTCTGTATTTGGTTATTTGATCCAAACAAGGATAGTAAATTAAAAGTCCATAATTTAGGATGGACAATACAAGACTTTCACAAAGCAACTTACGTAATTTGAAACTCAAAATACCTCGATTCCTGTATAATTGACGAATAACCAGATACGATTTTTTGACTAGGAGCGAAACATAGTCCTGAAACCTTAATTTGCAGTCATAAATAATGCCTAAGTTTTTGGCACTTCTACAAGATTTTAGAGGTTCATTTTGAATGAATAGCTTAAGGTTCTGTTGTACATTATGTTCTATATTTTTAGGACAAAATAATATTGTATGACATTTACTGGCATTTAGTTTAAGGTTATGATTCATAGAAAATGTATATACTGCATTTAAATCTGAATTCATGTTTTGCGAGGCTATATCTACTTCACATGGGTCAAAGGAATAATATAGTTGCGTGTCGTCAGCAAAAGAGTGTATATTTACATGCTCCAATAATTTATAAAGGTCTGAAATATATATGGAAAACAAAAGGGGACCAAGAACCGAGCCTTGGGGTACTCCTGATGTTACACACATAAAGTTAGATGATTTCTCTAACGTTACTTTTTGGTAGCGGTTACTTAAATAAAATTTGAAAAATCTTAGTGAGGTTTCATCGAAACCAAAATATTTGAGTTTGGCACAAAGAAGCTGATGATCTATAGTGTCAAACGCTTTAGAAAAGTCAAGCAGAGTAACTATTGTAGCTTTTCCTTCATCCATTGATCTTATAATGTTATCTGTTAAATCTAAGAGTAATGTTGTAGTACTAAACCCCTTTCGAAAACCTGATTGTTTAGTGGTTACAATATTATGAGAAAATACGTATGTATATATTTGTTTACTAATTACTTTTTCTATAATTTTGGACAACGTCGGTAAAATACTTATGGGCCGAAGGTCGCTAAATGTTTCAGGCTTATTTGATTTTGGCAAAGGCTTGATTAAGGAATACTTCCAGCTATCAGGAAAGTAACCAACTTCTAAACAGCAATTTACAATGTGCGTTATGTAAGGAGCACAGACTGAAATAGAAAGTTGTAACATTTTTGCTGAGATGTTATCAATTCCTAATGCGTTTGATTTTAATTCCAAAACTATTGACCTAATTTCGTTTACTGTTGCAAGTTTAAAAGAGAAATTTATACCAGGATTAAATAGATTTGAGTTATAATAAGATGTAGTGTGAGGACAACAATTTCTCTGACTGAATACCGACGTAAAATACTTGTTTATATCAGTAGGGTCACTTAAGCCATCAGGAATATGGAATGTAGTTTTATTTGAAATATTCAAGGATTTCATTGCTTTCCAAAGGTCTTTTTTGTTTTGCATGTTTGCACGATAATTTAAATAAGCTGATTTTTCTTTCCTAATTGCACTAGTAACGATATTCCGCATTTCTTTGTAATGAATGAAGTCTAATATATTTTGGGATCTTTTATATTTAGAAAGTGCTTTATCTCGTGTTTTCATCATGTCCCGGATTGTAGGTGTCAACCAATGAGCATACGGTTTAGTAATTTTGGCTTCTACATAAGGAGCATGGTTGTCAAATAATATTGTGATTAGGTTGTTAAAAATCTGTATTTTCTTTTCAATATTATTTTCATAAATAATATTTAGCCACGGCGCACTCACTAGGTCTGCGTTGAAAGCGTTGATTGAGAAATATTTATAACATCTATACGTTTTTAATATGGGAATCTTATAACTAACGTTTAAGTCAATGTCGCAGTAAACAGCACGATGATCTGATAATTGATGATCAATGACTCCTGAATTTAAAACTAAATCTGTCCTATTTGTGAAAATTACATCTAATAGTGTCTGAGAAGTCGTAGTTATACGAGTGGGCTCTGATATTAACTGTGAAAAATTATAAGATTCCATGCAATGATTTATTTGGTTATCAACCAACTGGTTTATGTTTATGTCGCCCGTAATAATAATATGATCAGACTGAGGTAATATATATGATAAAATATTATCAAAATATCCAATAAAGTTTGTAATATTGCAAGTTTCCGTTCGGTAAATAACTCCAATCAAAACCGATGACCTTCCAATTTCTACGGTTATCCAAAGATGCTCAATGCCCTGTACTGGATTGAAATCACCGATGGTTACTGAAGTTTTTAATGTATCACGGACAAAAAATCCTAAACCCCCTCCTCGCGAGCCACGATCATTTCGAAATATCTTGTACCCAGGTATATAAATAGCATGATCTGGAATATCATAAACTAACCACGTTTCTGTCATGCACACTATGTCAATTTTATTTAATGTAACTATATCAACAAACATATCAAACTTAGGGAATAAAGAACGCGTATTAAAATGTACTAACTTTAACTTTTTATTTACAAAACTAGCCATAATCAGTCCTAGATTTAAGATTATCTATTCTGTTTAATAAGTAACTACAGTTAGGGCTGTTTGTGGAATGATCAGTGCTAACGTTTAACTTAAACCTAGAATTAAATAATTTACAATTGTTACAACACAACGATTCAGATGTACAAGCATTTTTTTCGTGAGGACCGGAGCATTTGGGACATGTAATTTCACTGTGACAGTCTGTTTTGTGATGACCAAATTTGCAACATTTAAAACATTTCGTTAAGCTAAAGTGTTCTTTAACATAACATTTAACCCAGCCTACATAAAGAAAACCTTTGTTAGTGATATCATGAAAGAGTTCAGCTGATGTCTCTAGTACCACATTAAAGACATCCTTATACTTCATTTTGGTGATAATTTTTAAATCATTTGTAGTCACATTTAGTTGATTGGCTTCTATAATTTCATTTATTAAATTTGGTTGCTCCACAGATGATGAACTTACATTATGAATCATAAGTCTTGGCTTAAACTTCTTTGGTTCAGTAACGGTGTATGCTTTTCCTACTTTAGAGTTAATACATTTTTTTAAATTATCTAGAGATGCAGAATCACTACAATTTATAAGAATACCATTCTTGATAAGCTTTGTCCCTACCACATTCGCATTTGCAGCACGAGGATTCACCTTGGATTTAATATCTGCTTCCACCTGTATATTTTTAATATTTTGGTTCATTGACCTGACCAATAACACCGAATCGGAATTTACCTTTATTTTGGCAGCAGCTGAGTAACTTTTTACATTCTTATCACTTTGCGGCAAAAAAGAACTGGTTTGTGATAATGAAGTAGCACTTACAGGAACTTTTGATTTTAGGATGGCATTTAAATATTCTAGTTCATTTACATACTTTTCTAATATTTGTTTTTCTCTAGTCAAACATTCAATTTCTTTATTTAATAGCATTGTATCGCTGTTGGACTCACATTTTCCTTTAGATTTCAATTCACAATTATATTCCTCAAGACACTTTCGGCAACGGAAACAGTTTTTATCAAAATCAACAACTCTTAAAATCGCATCTGCACACTTTATATGAATTGTAATATCGCACTTTGGATTTATGCATTTAATATCATTTGTTGAAACTAATTTTCCACAATAACGACACTTTTTATCAGGAGGATCTGAATTGCCTGCCATCATGACCTACCTCCGTTCAGTCGCACGCTAGTGTTCAACTCTCAAAGAACCATTCCTTGCTCGTTAATCAAAATAATACTAATACATACAGTTTTAATTATGTAGTTGGTATAATCTCTTAGAAATTTTATGTGTATAGTTAACCTAAATATTTTATTTTCTCTACTAATTACTTTTTTTGGATAATTAAATTTATTTTCAAATTTTTACTGATAAATTCCTAATAACATTTGCTGTTTCCTATTAAAATAAACTTAGTTATTTATTAATTTATTTTAAGGTAATTGGTACAATACCATCATTAACACGATTTAACACACCATTTATAACAGCATCCAAATACTTGATGTTCTTGGAAATAGAATAAATTCGTGCATCATGTGCAATCATAAAGGACCCAACAGGCTTCTCTGAGGTACCTATACCAAGAAAATTTTTTATTTCATTTGATAGATATTCTGTTATTTATATTCAGTTGTCTAGGTACTAAAGCTTAGGCTCAATAATTGGTTGACAAAATGCTATTTTAAAACTTGGGTTAACTTTTTGCAACCTTAGAAAGAATTTAGCCTATGGAACTGATTAAAAAAACATGTAACTTTTTTTAAGAAAATAATTTTAGATTAAAAACTGTTCTTTGATTGGGATTTAATAAGACTTTTACTTTAAAGATAAATGGCGGGAAAGTATTTTATTGGTAAAACCTTTTTTAAAAATATGTAATTGTATTAATCAAGCTATTTGGTTTAGAAGTATTAAAAACGTAAGAGTAAGAATCATATATATTATTTATATAAGTAGTATTTTTAAGTCATTAAAATTTCTGATAGACAATGCTTCCCTCTTTCCTCTCTCTTTTTACAATAAAAGCTATACACTTCTAAAATCAACCTCAAATATTTCGAAACATTGCTATTAAAACGCTATAGTCATACCAATATTTTTAAATTCAAATTTAGATCCGCAACAAAATAGGACTCATTTAGCATCAAAGCCGACAATATTTTAAGATGTAAATTTCGTAGCATCTGAGTCACATGCCTATAAAACAAACAGGAAGTCTTAATAACGATCTTGAATGAACAGGGATAAAATCTAAATGAAAACAGGTTCATCTTCATTACGATAATTTAAAATGCCCAACAATGACTTACCTCAATCACGACAGCAATTTAATTCGTTAAACAACCACTGCTTAATTCAAAATAAAGCGTACACCGGGTAAAGTAAAGACCATTAAAAAATAGGGTAGCACGCGCCGTTGTTTATTTTGTGCGCAGGCCGGACGGTTTCAGCTGTTTTACTGAAAGTTCGTGAAAAACTGATTTGCCTCCGCCTCCATCAAGCTCAGCGAGGCACGGCAAGCCGAGATACTCGGTAGATGCATCCGTCTTTCGGGATGGATGCCCAACGTTCGGGTGGGGAGGGACGCAGAGCGTCGCGCGGCAGCTGAAAAAATTAAGTAGGTCCCTAATAAAGATGTCTCGAGTTAGGAATATTGGTGCTAAAAAAATAAGGTAGGTTACAACGTTCGGCAAAGTTTCGTCTAAGAATGACGATGATGGATGTGGAGGTGTCGGATATTCGAGGTTTGCCAGGTTTATAATGAAGTTTCGCTTTTTAGTTTCACGCTTCATTTCGTCTAATACAGGGTGATCCTGTGAGCCAATTATTTTTGCTCGCAGTAGGCGTTAAACTAGAATATTTAGAAAAATTATTCAAATTCAAAATTATGCTAATATACGCCGACACCCGAACGGCGGATATTACCATTGAAATTTTACAGAAAGTTTCTAGACACTTTGAAACATACTATACATAACAATGTTGAGTTCGCTGTCACTAATTTTTTTTTTGTTATTTTAGAAGCCTTAAAATTTGTTGCTCAGTCTCCGCCATTAAAAAAATGTTAAATAAATAATTTTCACTAATTTCTTAATAGAGAAACGGCTAAATTACAATATTATTAGACAATTAAAGTAAATTATCTTCAATGACAATATGACAATTTTACGTTTCTATAAATGCGTTGTTGTCAAATCGAGTAAGAAAATGTATGAAAGCAAATAGTTTGGTTAATGAAAGTAAGCTGTTTGGCAATGGCTCCAGGCCAAAGCAAGAAATCAAACAGAGCGAAGCTGAAAGAGGTTTGAAAAAGTTCACGGGTGCGATGCAACCAGCAATGGCTCCAGGCAGTCCAGCGTAGCTGAGAAATCACAGCGAAACCGGAGGATGTTTCAAAAAGTTTTACTCGCCATGAATTCAGGCCGTATAGGTTAGGTTATTTATTTTGGTTTTTTACTTAATTTTTCCTTAATTTTTACTTGACTTTAAAACTCCCAAATAAATTTAAAAAAATTGAATTTGGTTACGTAAGAGCTGTATAACTTCAAGAATAAAGTCCATTAGACATAACGCAATATTTCTATATTTTGACAATGACATTGACGTATTTTGATTTATCGCCAATATTGAGTGTTGTTGTGTGATATTGATTATTTGATTAGTCATTTTCGGTTCCTGACATTTTTAAACAGTTAGTTTTATAAAAAAATTCTAATACTTCAAGTCAATTTGTTGGTCCGGTATAATACAGGGCAAAGATAAAATGACAATTAGCATGTAACAATTTATATTATTGCCTTGTTATTGATATTGAACATGTATGTATTATTCACACCTATGGTATTTTATATTCATAGAACGATAGAAAACGAAATATAAGATATGAAAAGAGATATACGTATGTGTGATTTTTTACTTTTAAATTTTCGTTGTGTGGCATTTAAATCTTTTAAGAGGAAACCGGACCTCTCGCGAAATCAAAAATGTTTTAAGGATTTTCTAATATAAAATTGTATTTATATGCCTGCCACTGGGAATACTTCGTGATATTATATGTCTTGGCAATATTAAGAGCTTTAGACATTTAAGAAAAAGGTGGGAAAGCATATCATTTAAAAACTACTAGATATTTATTAAAACAAAAATCTGATGTATCCAACACATGACTTTCCTATCTAGTTATTACAGACTTTTGCCGGTTATTTTGTACAACCTATTGTAATACTATTGTAAATTTTTAGAGGATAAACTAAATATATACATTTTCGCACGAATTTCGAAACGTAGGCCGGGCGCGCTCGCTTCGCTCACTCTCTTCATCCATTTATCAGTTTTATTATAAGCTCTCATTACATCTATTATGTTATTAAACAAACCGAACACCTTAAAACTGTATAATTCATTCTGAGCCTTTATTATTAGTCCAATTTTTGTAAATTTTTCTGGAAATATCAACAATAACTTTAAATTTTTTGTAAACCTTCGAAAAGTATTTATTTTGAAAACTTTTAAAAGAAATTTAAAAAAACATTTCCGCGCCATTCTGTATTAAATCTATGAAAATTTGATGCTTTTTACTTTCCTATCTGTATACAGATAAGGAAAGTATAGGAATCATGATTTTTTCAACCTCGAGTTTTCGACGGATTTTTACGTTTTGGGGTCCCCCGAATTTTGACTATTTTTGCGATCCATTTACTTTTTTACATAATATCCATGTGGCCGTATATTTTCATCCTTAAAATAGGAAACGGTCATTATCGAATTCGATCTTTTTGTTATTTTGAAAACAATAAACATGCGTACTTGCTGGTTGCTATTTCTAGCAAAAAAAACTGAGGTGTTGAACACATGACTTTCTGTCTAGTTATTACAGGCTTTTTCCAGTTATTTTGTACAACCTATTGTATCACCCCTGTAAATGTTTAGAGGATGAACTAAATATATACATTTTCCACACACATCTTTGTTAAAACATTTTTATACACTCAGATGCAAAAAGTCGATGTATATTTCCCATTTATTGTGACTTTTAAAACTTAGAACTCGTTATATGGCATATATAAATTTAGAGAAAACCTCGTATAAGTACAATTATTTACATCTAATATTCCCTCTTACATTTATACCAGATATAAAACTGACATCTACAAAACATTTTCTTCTTCGCTAAAAAGTAAGAATTGATCGAATTGTTTGCACTTGAGTATCTAAATAAAACCATATAAATTTAAGGGGTGATTCTGGGAAGAAAATTAAGGTGAATATTTGATATAAAATTTTTTGATAAAACCCTCCCCGGAAAAGTTACACCCCTTCTTTTTTATTTTCCCCGTATTTTAAGCTTAAGACACGAAACTTGGTAAATATTATTATTGTTTGTATTTAGCATAATATACAGGGAATATAAAAAAGAAAAATCATTTTTTTTAAATCTTCGGGGAGGTTTTTCTCAAAAAAAATTATATAAAATACTCACCATAATTTTTATCACAGAATCACCCCATAAATTTTTTCGGTGCTATTTAGTTACACCTTGTATATTAATTTTAGTGGCGGCTCGTGGTAATTTTAAATGGAGGTTCAATTTTTTCCAATAATTTTCGCATTTCTAAAACTTTGTACAAGTTTTATTCCTCAAAACTTCTTTGGTATCGTCCGTTTTAATACAATTAAATTTTTTAATTTCTCCCGTTTTTATTTCATCTGAACCTGACATTTTCGAAGAACTTGTGAATCTAAAAAAGCAAAAGATTTCCTTGTTGTTTCGGTTAGTTTTAGGACAAACCTTAGAGCTGCCAGTGAATCCTGAAGTATGCGTTTTATGCTTCGCACAAACATTATGCTTTTTTTAGTGAAGCAATTTTTGATTATATTTTTTTCATTACCACTAAAGCCAAGATGAAAACTATAAAAAAAAACTCTGTTTTTAAACTAAGAGGAGCGAATTGAAAAGTCCTATTTACACAGGGAAAAATAACTAAAAAAGTAACTAAATATCATTTTAGCGGTAAATTTAAATTTGTCTTGTATCATTTCAAGAAAAACATTTCAAAACTTTGTTATGAATTCATTGAAGTCAAAGTTTTAGATAACCAACGAATAAAGATGACACTAAATTGTGCTCATTCCGTTTTTGATTTATAATTATTGTATTTTAGTTGTACTTTTATTTTTCCTTACTTCGTCTCATATCGCAGCTCGGACCAGTATGTTGAGAAGAGAATCGCCCAAGCAGCGACCAAATTTCAGTAATTGAGTAAAATGTCTCCCAACAAAATACAAAATAATTTAGATTTTGACATACAGTTTTAATTCATCATTTTATAAGTAACTGTGATTAGAAAATTATATATCTATTATAATAACAGAAAAGAAAGTAAATAGTAGGTTTTTCAGTTTGATGGAAAAATTAGAAAAATAGGTATGCCAGTTCTATTTGTTGAAATGAAATTAAGCACCTATTATTACCTACCTATTACAAAATATATTTAGGAGGGACTGAAAAAGATGTAGTTGAAGAAAAGCTTATTTAAAATGAAGAATTTTGGCAGGTACAAAAAAATAAAGTTTATTTCTATATTTTTTTATAGGTATAGTTTAATTTGTAATATTTTTTCTTAAAATTAAACTACAAGATTACCATTAGTTGTATGAATTTCCTAATTAAATAAGGGTTCTTTCTTCAAATAAAATGTAGCAAAGTTCTGAAGTACGATACGATATGTTTGCAGACAAGTGTTTTGAAATGAAATAAATCAAATCTATACGAATTTTGTCTCCACTGACAAGATGTTATATTCAACAGTCGAAAGTGTAAACTTGTGGCAACAGCTTATTAAATGTATGTAGAAGTCCAAGAAAGTGCAATGGTATCAGCTTTTACTATAATAATAATGGTTTTTATCATTCTCCTGTTTTTTTGTAGATAGGATTTATAATTGTTGCTTAAATTCCACATTGTGTATCAGAATGTCTTTGGTCTTCTTGAAAACATATTTTTATACAATATAAAGTAGATGGTATATTTTTTTGAGACATCCTTCAAGCCTCACGAAAACTAAATGTTTATTTGCAGGTAAGATAATATGTATCTTAATTTTGTATGATCATTTATTGTATAGACAAATAATTAAATAAAAATTATTAAGGCATAAAAAAGGTAATTTGTAACTTTGTGTCAGCAGAAGGATTTCCTACACCCAATTTAATATATTTTTATATTAAATAAAATATCTTTAGTATGATCGGTAGATATTTTTAATAATTCAGCACTACATATGTTTCGAAATCTTCTGGTGCAATCACAGCTTTTTAAAATTTAAAAAAACATTTAAGAACATAAACACTTTAAAATGATCATGAACGAAACCCATATTTTGTGATAGTATGTAGATATCTTACAACTAGTTGATTAAATTAAAATACACCTTTTACACATTTGCAGAGTTTAATATGTGTAAGTGTAGTTATACTCTTTGCAGTCTATTTTATAAACTACATATAGTTGAGTTGCTTTCTTGAGTTTGGGTTTAAAATTTAAAAATAAGGTTTCGTTTATGAGCAATTTTTACATTATATCTAGAGAATAGTAGCAAGCTATTTATTTAAAATAATAAAACACGGTATTTGTTTTAGGTTAAATAATGAAAGTTTTGGAGGCCACAAATTATGGAC